GACTATCAGCCCGATATCTGCAAAGACTACAAGGAGACAGGTTTCTGTGGTTTCGGAGGTTAGTAAGACTGAGTATTAAAGGGATTTATATCTAGTATCAGTCATTAAATGAACTGCTCTTCTCCTTTTTCCATCGTTGCTGATGTTCCTGTTTATTACCCTCAGACAGCTGCAAGTTCCTCCACGACAGATCGGACTACAAACATGGCTGGCAGATCGAAAGGGAACTGGACGAAGGGCGATATGGAGCAAACGGTGAGTTAATCAAGTGATTTTTAATAATCTACCTTGTGTAGTTGGATTATTTCTCTAAATACTGTTTTCCTCCAGATGAGGAGAACTACGAGGTGAGCAGCGACGAGGAGGATTTTCCCTTCAAGTGCTTCATTTGCAGGGAATCTTTTAAAAATCCCATCATAACAAAGTAATTCTCCTCTGAGTCCTTTCCTCCTTCACTCTGTAGCTCCATGTGTTATTTATTACCAGAAGGCAATTTGTCTGTTTTTTTTTTTTTTTTCAGGTGCAGGCATTATTTTTGTGAGAGCTGTGCCCTGCAGCATTACCGCAAGTCGAAGCGCTGCTACGTGTGCAACACCCAAACCAACGGAGTCTTCAACCCTGCTAAAGGTAAACAAAATCTTTTTAAAAAAAAAGACATTAATGCAACAAATTCATGGTTTTTGGTTTTTATTTACATTTATTCCAGAGCTGATRGCCAAGATGGAGAAACGCAACGCAGCAGCGGACATGCCGCCGTCAGACGAAGACGATTAGTCGTCTTTTTAACCCTCTGTTTGTGTCCATGTTGACTTTTTTTTTTTATATGACCAGGTTAACAGCTCTTTTGTACCATCATGTTGCTGTACAGAGTTGATTGTAAAAAGATWTATATTTGCAACACGTTGCTTTGCCCCCACTTTCAAATAAACATGCAGACAAAACGAGCACCGGTGAAACATTTGCTTTGTTTTAACACGACAAACAAGCAGAGAGGTCGAGAAAATTCAAACCTTCAAACCTCTGCAACGAAACCAAAGTCTGAAGCAAACAGCTGCTTTTGAAACGTCCCTCTGGTCACTATAACAGACATACATGAGTGGACGGTTCAAACAGAGCTGCAGTTTATGCTGTAACAAATACAAAGCTATGAAATGCATTTKCATGCTGTTTGACCGTCAGAGCAGACAAGCATCCATCTGGACCAGCAGAGCTGGCAGTAAGAGCTGCTGGGTGTCCTGGTGAGCAGATGGACTGAATCAACGTTAACAGGAAAGGTGGAGTCTGATTATTTAGTAGCAGCTTCGCAGCAAAACATCTCCTGACCTTTTTAGATTTCTGAAATAAAACTCAAAGTGTGAACATCTACCGTGTAGAGTACATTCTGTGAAGATGTGAGCGAGGTCATCAGTGCAGTTTGAACATTAAAYCAAAAGTGAGCGAGACGCCAAAAACAAACAAAAAAAACTATTAACCTCTTAGACTCCTTTAACATTCAAAAAAGGAGAAGATGAAATCCCGTTTTCTGCTTTAGCGACACAATCACAGCTGTCAGAAGTCCCAGTCGTCCACTTCCAGGTGGCTAAAACCAGACTCCAGACTCGCCAATCCAGAGACAGAATCCTGCGGCTGGAGGCTCTCGAAGCAGGAGATGGGAGCCACGGGGTGCAGGAGCTCGGGCAGCGCCTCTGACGGCCGACGTTTGATCTGAAAAGGAAAACGTCCCGAGACAAACGCTGAAACTACTTTAGTCAAAATATGAACTTTAAAGTCTTCATGGTGAACATACCTGTTTAAAGAAAGGATGCCCGATGAGAGTGGAGGCAGAGGGTCTGCAAAGCCAAACCAAACAAAAATGAGAAGTTTTSATTCTTTCTATCACGTTTTATAAACAGAAGTTTTGCCGACCTGTTCTCCGGCTCTCGCTGCAGACACAGCTCGACGAYGTTGTGAAACTGAGGGGAAAAGGTTCGGTTGTAGGGATGTCCCCCCGACYACGACGAGGAAGGCTCTCCGTTCGTGTGCCGAACCCCGCCCGGCCTCGGACCCTCGCAGATCCCGGAATCGGCTCCGGAGCGGGACGGCTTCAGGGACAGCTCCTCRGGCGGGATGGTGGTGGTGTCCAACAAGCACGGAACCGTCCCGTTTAGTTTCTCCAGGAGCATCTGTGGGAGCGAAGGGTCCGGTTTACGCGAGCCGGTCCTCGGATCAGAACAGAACGGTTCTGAGGGGTCTCTGCTCACCTGCGTGGCCGGCATGTCTTTGAAGGGRACGTGTCCGTTGGCCAGCTCGCAGGCTGTGATTCCAAGGCTGTAGATGTCGGAGCGCGAGTCGTAGCCCTGTAAATTCTGAGAAAAACAATCCAAAGTTGAACACTTAAGTGCTGAAAGCAGCTAAAGTAGAGCTGGAGGACGTACCTGCTGCAGCACCTCTGGGCTCAGCCAGGGCAGAACCTTTARGCTGTACTGAGGGAAGTCGTGGACCATTTTGGCCCTCTGGCCGTTACGGATCAGACTGAAGATGCTCCGCAGACCCGACATGCAGACCTGACCATCTGCAGAGATCAGAACGTGGCTGGCTTTCAKGCTCCTGAAGGAAAAAAATATAAATACAGAAACTGATCTGTAATTATGAGTCTGAAATGTTGCTTTAGTTAATATTACTCTACTAGAAAATAAAAGTTTTGATCTCATTTCATTATGAAACAAACAGCTTTCCAATGKAAAGGTTTCAAAAACAAAATTATGTAACTTGTGACATTAGTAGTGACTTATAATTTATTACATTTTTACCATATATGGTTTGATACTAATTGTAATTATTATTCCAAATAACCAGATGTGTATAAAGTACTTAAAAGAAAAAAACAAAGTAAAATTAAGAATACCTTGACAAAAAATGATTGATTTTACCGTTAAGTACTTCAGTAAAAGTRATGGATTGGTTTCAATGAAATCTATTTTTATTTTTATAATAAATTAAGTTAAAAAACTTCTTAATTAAAATCTTTTTTTCCTCATTGGGAGGCCGGATGGAAGTCACCTGCAGGCCAGATGTGGCCCACGAACRGCCAGTTGAATAGCCCTGGTTTAGTGGAACTGCGCAACTAGTTTCATTTTTTAGAGTGCATAATCAACTCTTTTCATATTTATTTATTTAAATTTATAATGTGTAACTAGGTGTTCAATTTTAAATTAAATATATATTTTTTATGTTTTGAATGTAACAAAATAAATAAAATAGAAATATTTAGTAAAATTACAAATCCTTTAAAGAAATACTTAAGAGTATTAATGAAGTAAATATACTTGTTACTAAACACCTCTGCCAATACCTACATATAAATCRCTTTTTTCATTTCTATTTTCAAATTGACTTTGATCAAAAAACATCCAAAGATACAAATAATAAAAAAAGTTATTGTTTAGTTTATTCTAGATTTGTTGTGAAATGCTGAAAGATGGAAAACTATCTAAAAGTAGCAAAAGGCTAACTAGATGCTAGAGTGATGGCTAAAAGGCTAAATGGAAAAAAAACTAGCCAAAAACTACCAAAGGGTTATTCACAAGATAATCAGAACGGTAGCTAAAGGTTAGCCAGAAGCTAAGGCCAGTTACCGGTGCACGTATCCCATGTGGTGGATGTATTTCAGGGCTTTCAGCATGCCCAGCAGAATGTATGCGATAGTCAGCTCACTCATACCGTCTGTAAAATGTGTGCAGATGAGGTCTCTGGCTGACCCTGCAACACAAATCACAAACAATTACAAGGGGGGGTATTATTTATTTTTCAAGCATTCAACTCCACACAACAATTAAGTAACTATGTTCCCTTCAGTTGTTTTGAAAAGGCTGAATTTATCAAAAATAAATTCTAAACGTCTTGAAATTGGCCTCTGTCTCTTTAAGAACCTCCTACAGTTTCCAACACTCCCACTTCAGCACGAACTCACAACAATGCTTCGGGTTAGGGGGGGCTCTGTGGGGCGGGAGCTCAGCTGCAGACTGAGCTCCTGGGAGGAGCTTTGTACAAATAGGCGGGGCTTTGTAGCAGCAAGCATTTAGGCAGCTCCACATGGCAACAGGAGATTCAGGGATTTCTCAAACATGCACGAATGAGTCAAAGCAACACTCTGCATGTGTTTCTGATGACGGAATGACTTTATAGCATAATATAAAGATCAAAAAGATAATTTTGCATACCCCCCCCCCTTTAATGCAAGATGCTTTAATTAAATTAAAGATACAATCCATGTTTAAGTATTATTTTTCTCCTACCATAAGCCATGAATGGTGTGATAACCCACAGCTCATTCTCAGCTATAAAGACGCTCTTGTATGGGAGAATGCTGGGGTGATGAAACAGCTTCGACACGTGTAGTTCACCCTGGTGGAAAAAAAAGAGTTAAAAACCATCTTATTAAATAATAAAATGACAGCAGAGAGGATTAGTTTAAGCTTTGAAATAAAACGAGAGGAGACACTGAATTCAAACAAGGCTCTAGGATCACTGATGATGCAGACCTGCAGATAGGTCACCATGTCGTTCGTGCAGGACTCCAAGTCAATCCGCCGAATGGCCACGTGCTCCCCAGTAGGTCTGTACCGAGCCTGGTTCACAGTCATCAAATCATCCAAACCCTTCCCTAAACAACAAACATTAGACTTAAACCCTAAATCTATATATCTGTTGTTTTGTAGATATATGGAATTAACGAAAAACACTTTACAAATGCAGCAATTTGCCAGTAATTTCTACATGTTAGTATTTTTATAACCTCAGATTGTCAAAAAAAGACCCCTATACTCCAGCTAATAAAACATTTTACGTGTTGTTTCCTGTTTAAAACCAGCTGCACACATCTTGGGTTTTAGTTACCGATAACAGCGAGGAGTTCGTATGAGCCGCTGTCCGGGAGGAAGCTGCCCATGGTGTCTGGACGGGGCAGCGAGCTCAGACTCTCCTGACTGTCCTCATGGACCTGGAGGTGAACGGAGACAAAACAGAGCCAGATGAGGTTCTGACACTGGATTTGTTTCTGGCACCCAGAGGCTCTGACATAAATGGTTTCTGTCAACACTAAAGAATCAGCAGACTGACACCACAATGTTAGTACGACTAGTACGGTTCAATCAWCCAATCTAGGTCCTCGGGGGCGCCACTATCCTGCAGGTTTTAGTGGTTTCTCTGCTTCAATGTACCTGATTTAAAACAACAGGTGATCAAAAGGCTTCTGCAGAACTTGAAGAGTGAATCAAATCACTGAGAAACAAGTAAAACATGCAGGATTGGACACCGCAGATCWAAAAAATACAAATATTCAACCTAAGTCTGATACTAAACAGATAGTTCTACCCTACCCTACAGTGACCCCAGAATGTGGACATACGTGTGGTTTCTCTCAGTTAACAAAACTCCAATAATATTTAAAATTTAAAAAAAGGAAAATAAGCCAAATATGTTGRGACCAATGCAAAGTTTGTGCTCAGCTCATCCATTTTACACAGTGTAAAGACATGAACAAAAAATTAAAAGTAATTATTGTTGGCAGTGAGGACTCCTGAATTCCATCAAGTTACTGACGTTAAAATGATGGAAATAACTCGATGGCAGCAGCAAGCTGTGAAAACAAATTAAAGCAAATGGATGGATCATTTCCACGCTGACCACAATGAAGTTCAGCATCAGGACAGCAAACTTCTTTGAGGTCATCCGAGAAAAAAATAAAAAATAAAAAAAACAACATCTTGTTCCACGTGTGGATGGTTCCAAAGAATCCAAATGGTTTTACATCTTAAATAAAGCAGACATTTAATCAGCCGTAGCCAACAACTCAAACATGCTACGGCAGCTGCTGTTTAAAGGAATATTTGTGAATATTATCTAATCACACGGAGTACACAACAGACTTCCACTGTGATCAGATCTTCAGTGAGCTGCCAAGAACCGTAATAAATACAGTGCTCTGAAAAATGTCCACCCCAGACAGATTTGTTTTGTTCTGGCTCATTTTAACACTTGAATGTTTCAGACCAGCATAAAAAATGTTTATATCAGACAAAAGGTACATAGAACAGGCCTGTGATGTCCCCCGCCCCTTGGATGGATGGATAAATTAATGGATGATGGATGGATGGATGGATGGATGGATGGATGGATGGATGGATGGATGGACATCAGTTTGTCACTCAGGACTATCCTCTCAGGTTATTTTTGTCTGTTATCAACATTTGTTTAAAGATCTGAAATGTATAAAAGTGGCAACAACATTTTCACAGCTCTGTAAAGCAAAGAGCTTCACATCTCTGCAGAAATGAGATGAACAGTAGCTCAACATTAACTCCACAAAAGCTGACAGCAAATACAGAAACTATTAATATAAAACAAGTCCAGACTTTTAGTGGAGCTCCAAAACAACATCAAAATCCWAAACAAGAGCGGATGCTTGGAGCACAGCTTGTTAACAACACAAAAACTCACAGAAATGTTAGATTTTTTTCACAAGTAAAATTCTTGACGCTCTTGTGAGTGAGATGAAAAAGACCATCTATACAACAAGCATGTGCAGCATGTGTAATGAAACTCATGCAAACATGTGCAAACCCTCAGGGGATGGTGAGGTCATCAAAATATAAATCCTTGTGCACACATACGTACATGCACGCACATACACAAAAGGCACATGAGGGATGACGATGCAGTGGCAGGAGTACCACACTTACTTTCCTGTGTGAGAGTCCCTGAGCTTGCTCTGGGGTAGAAAAACCATGTCAATGATTCAAAGACACGCACACAAAGACAACAAGGGAAGGATCTGAGTTTACAGGAGCYTCTCAGCTGCTAAGCACAGCCACAAATGTAATGGTTTGCTGTATGATGAAACAGAAACTCTCCTTTTAGGATCAAAATTAGCTGCTGTGTCCTTCAGAAGAGGCGCAGGATTTTCACCATTAAGGACATTAACGTGTTTAACAGACGCCACTCTGAGGTAGAACTCAAGAAAATAAATAATTCTTTACAGAACCAGTAAAAGATGAGAACTGCCGAAACAGAACTTACAAATTTATACAAARAGGCAACACTCAACAAAAACCTGCAAGCCATAAAATGAAAATGGGAATTTGCAAAATAAGAAGTAAAACTCAATCAAGAAGCTTTTGCACAAAACAAAAATAAAAGTTAAATAATGCACTGAATCATCCAAACAGCCTAATGATTAGAGCAAAACAKCACATAATCACAATGTTGTCAAAGCAGACAAATGAAAGATTTGGGAAAAAATAATTCCATCGTTCAATTTCAAATAATTATGTTCATCATGTCAAAAGAATACATTTGAACATATAAACAAAAAAATTGTTTCAATGTAAATAAAATTTACTTCAATTGTAATTTCCTTGGTGACAAAGCTATTTCTACCCTAGGACCTAAAARAATATGCAGTAAAATTGATAAATAACCTAATTTTTACATCAGACTGAAATGTGAACATGTACAAAGGAGATTTAAGATAAAGTGATATTATCCTGCTACTGCTGCTTTTACAGAATTCAACATCTGATCGTCTCAAAAGGCTGAATATGTTGACCACAGATAGTTTATCAATCAACAATAAAATATAGATTTGAGGCTGTTCCATTGTGCTTTAAACAACACAACAAAGAGCTGCTGTTTCCAGCAATTTAAAAATTATTTGTTCTGATTATTATTATTATTATTTCACGTTTTTCTTTCATTTCACTAAAAATAAAAGACACAGGATTGCTCGTGTCGTGTGCTGATTAAGAATTGACATAAACAGAAACAACGAGGCAACAAAGCTGAGGGCAAGTTAGGCAAGAATGACGGACGATTAACTCTGGATGACATTTGACAGCAGAGCAAAGCAAACACTCAGAGCAAAGCCTTTTCACAAATTTTCATAATCTAAATTGTAACCGGTAGATTAGGAATCCTGAATCATTTTGTTTACATTTGACTTGACTTTAACCTCACCTCCGAATAACTCCAAATCCCGCAGGCTCTCCACACTCAGTTTCTCAGATACCCAACGCTGACAGACAGGGAGGGTTAATAACAAGCATGAAAAAAGAGGGAAATGCAAGCAAGGATAAGAAAAGGTACACAAAGAGAAAACATTTTATGTTGCTGACTTGTTATTAAGATTAAGTCATAAAAATATTATAAATAAAACAAAGCAGTTTAAATAGTCTTGACTGTAAGCTGTTTTATATTGATACTTATGGATTTTGGGTGGAAAAAATTAAGATTTTCTCTTAATACAGAAAAAAAGTTCCTGTAAATGCATTAACTTGGCAGAACACTTACAAGAAAAGACATTGATCCTCTTGAGTTTGTTACATATAGTGTTGAAAAATCTGTGGAGAATAAAGAAAACATCACATTGAAGAGGATGTGGTCTTTGCTCCTCCTGCAAACAATCCAGTAAATCTGCATTTTAAGCTCACAACAATGATTCGTGGAATAGGTTGTGGTAAAAAAAAAAACTAAAATAACAAATATTTGAATTTTATCTTTACCTATATGCAAAAATTTCCAACAATAACAAACAAAATATACTAAACACATCATCAAAACAGAAAATTATAGCACATTATTTAAACTTCGCACAGAGAGATAGCCACACTGCTAATTAGCTACCCCAGCTGTCCGTCTTGACTCGTTCTAAAAAATATATACAACGTAGTTTTTTATCATATATACTTACCAACTTCATGCGAAGAACAGCAATCAAATAAAGCATAATATTAAAAATTTTGGCAACCTTTTTTTTTTTTATCGAGCCATCCTCTCCAGCAGGATGCTTCCTGTCGCGCACGGACTACGACACGCCCACTGTAATGACGGCGCGTGTTGATGACGCAAACACTACTTGGGGGTRTGATAGAAAACGAGCAATATTTACTACCCTCAGAAGCAGGTAAATAAACATGCACCGTTTTCTGTTATTTAATTCATTAATACTTTTAGTCATTGTACATTGGTACACTGTGTACCATTGATATAAAAGCCCCACAAGTGCAGTAAATGTATAGTTAAATACCGAATATTTCTACGCAAACATTCACCTCGGCCTTAGCGCGGCCTAGCTTGAGCTAATTATGCTAACGTTTCAGAACCAGCACATCAGGAATGTCGCTGTTCTGCAGATTATGGGTCTGTGTTTAAAAGAAAACCTGTAACATGTTTCTTTAATTTAATTTAACTGCTACTCGATTATTTTGGAGTGCGCTATGTTTCGGTTTTAACCTTAGTTAAAGCGCGTTAACACGAAAGCCAGAAATGCATTCAGTAGTGAGTGATGCTCATTTGTTTTAGACTCTTGGTGTGGATTAAGCTTGAATGATAATGTTGTGCTTTTGATTATGTTCATAGATAATAAGTAAGTGATCAAACTAATAGGAAGTTGTCTATAATAAATAATTACAATTACAGAGAATGTTCCTTATCCTGTAAATATGATTGAAACTTTAAAATCATTACTGAGTCAGAGAATAATGACTATTAAGATATTAAATACGTTTTTCCCTTCTTTTTTTCTACAGCATAGCCATGAACTGGAACAAAGGTGGTCCAGGTGTGAAGCGTGGGTTTGGCTTTGGAGGTTTTGCCCTTGCAGGGAAGAAAGAGGAGTCCAACCTTCCCCAGAAATCTCATACAACATTTGGAGCTCCTGGATCAAGTGGGGGATATGGAAAGGGCCAGCAGCTTCCATCGTTCTATAAGATAGGATCAAAAAGAGCTAATTTTGATGAGGAGAATGCGTGAGTATAAGCCTTCCCTGATAAATGAGCAGTTTTATTCTTCTTTAGTACAGCTATTATAAACACCATATACAGTATGTATATAATATGTTTAATTAGAGGGGCATTTCTGTCACTAGGTATTTTGAAGATGACGAGGAGGAATCCAGCAGCAACGTGGATCTGCCTTACATTCCAGCTGAGAACTCTCCAACACGGCAGCAGATGAAGTCAGGTGGAGGCTCAGATAGTGAAGATGACCCTTTGGATGCCTTCATGGCAGAGGTTGAGGTGAGAAGATTACCTTGTAATGTATCTACATAGACGACACATTGCTGCATTTTTTTCTCTGAATTATTGCTAAAGTAGAGCAGATGTTTCAACTATATTAAACTATAGTTGTATCAGGATGTGATTTTGACACAATTAGTCTTGTTCTGTCTGCTGCTATGTCTTATTTTCAAATCTCTGATTTTTTTAAAGGAAAACACAATTCAGGGGTTATAAATAATTTTCCGCAAATAATGTTTCTGTATTTTGTTGTTTGGTTCCAGTGCAAGTGGTTGTTCAAACTTGTTATCATCCACATTAAGAAAGAGAGTTACTTCCAATAAATCATTGATTTAGAGGTCATACACTGTCATACTGGATCATCTAACACTAATATTTTGTGTCTTTAACTGGACTTTTCTCTGTTTCTTAGGATCAAGCAGCCAAAGACATGAAGATACTAGAAGAGAAGGAGAAAAAAGCATCCAAGTAAGATTCCTTTTCACTCATTTTTTAGTCTCTGAATACATTTTAAATTACCATAAGTAGAATTTTACCTCTATAGAAATCATATCAAGCTGCTAATTTGTGTTATTGTAGTTTTAAACGGAATTTAAGTGGCTTAGCATGTATGCAGCTTAAAGTTGCTCCAGTAAAGAGCACAAAAAGTCGGTCTGACTGTCAGTCATTGTTGGATTTTGGCTGTATTTGGTTTATGAACGAGTTGCAGGGAAGTTTTTTTTTTTTCTCCGCTTGTTTTTTCAGGGGTATTCGTGATGACATTGAAGAAGAAGATGAACAAGTGAGTGAGCCCTCCATAGTTCTTAATCCACCACAGTGCAGATCAGGGTGGTCCTCCCTCTCTGATTTTATAAAGTTAATTACACAACACCCACCCACTTTCTCCCATCAACCAGGTTGCATTTAGGATCATTATTGTGGATGGCTTTTTCTCATGCTGATTTATTGTTTGTTTTTTCCTAAAACCAGTCATCAAGTGACATTATTGTGGATTTCAATTTGTGAGCAATATTTATCTTGGGGAAAAGTATTTTTTCATTTAAAAAAATAAAATCTGTTTGGTTTCTTGTTACTAAAAACTGCAAAAAGCCACAAATCTCCTTTGTTTTTCACTTAAAATGATGGATTCTCTGCAGGAAGCATATTTCCGGTACATGGCAGAGAATCCGACAGCCGGGCTGACCCAAGAGGAAGAGGAGGAAAACATCGACTATGACAGTGATGGAAATCCAATTCCCTCTACAACCAAGAAAATCATCATGCCACTTCCTCCTATTGACCACTCAGAAGTATGTTTGACAATACTGAATGAGAAGACACTGTTGAAGGATAGTATTTGTATTTATTACAAGTAAAAGAAATGTTTTGAGACCTGTTGTGTTTTTTGACTCATAGATCGAGTATCCACCGTTTGAGAAAAATTTTTACAACGAGCACGAGGAGCTCAGCAGCCTGACTGGAGTTCAAGTGTTGGAGCTGAGGCAGAAACTGAACTTGCGAGTAAGTCAGCAAGTCATCCACATATATGAATAAAGCTTGAATGTAAAACATGTTTTCACTGCTGTGATTTTAGTATTTTGTGTCGCTACCAGTATTTTTGTTAACATTGGTTATTCATTATCTCTGAAACACTAAGCTTTTTATGTATTGTGCTCTTTATAAATTGATTTTAATTTAATTAATTGCATTTTTTTTTAGGTATCTGGTGCTGCACCTCCAAAACCGTGCACAAGCTTTGCTCACTTCGGCTTCGACGAGCAGCTGATGCATCAAATAAGAAAGTCTGAGTACACTCAGCCCACACCAATTCAGTGTCAGGTACTTTGAATGACTAAATGAACTAGTTTATTTTGATTATATAGAATGAAATTAACCATTATATTGACAAAATAAAACAAAATAACTTCAGGCATAAGATATCTGAAGCTTACAATAGTTCCTTCCCTCAAATTTAGCTCAAATTGTAAGATCACTCAAAATTCATCAAGACCAAAAAAAATTAGGTTGTAGACTCAGTAAATAATATCCCTTATAAAATAAATAATTTAGGTCCTTGTATTGAACCTTGTGGAACACCACAAGTTATTCTTAACTGTGATTCTGTTTTATTGAGTTTTACATAATAAAATCTACACGATTCAAGTTAATATCAAGATTGCCACGTTGTAAAAAAATAAAATTTGCATTGATTAATCCTTGTTCTGATCTGTGATCCAGGGTGTCCCTATTGCACTGTCTGGACGTGACATGATTGGCATCGCAAAAACCGGCAGCGGTAAAACTGCAGCCTTCATCTGGCCAATGCTGGTTCATATCATGGACCAGAAGGAGCTGGAACCTGGAGAGGGACCCATCGCAGTCATTGTGTGTCCCACCAGGGAGCTTTGTCAGCAAGTAAGAATATTTTTTAAAGATTTGAGATGTGTGAGGTGGTTTTTTTTTTTTTTTTTGTGGCTGCATTAAACAAATTTGCTGAGATGCCTGCTTCTCATGAGTTTTACTATTAATATTCACCAGATCCATGCAGAGTGTAAACGTTTTGGGAAAGCCTACTCACTGCGTTCTGTAGCAGTTTATGGAGGAGGCAGTATGTGGGAACAAGCCAAGGCTCTACAGGAGGGAGCAGAGATTGTTGTCTGCACACCAGTAAGGACTTTTACCTTTTTTTTTAATTTCTCAGTATTTTGTTACAAATATGAACGTTTTGTTCCTAATGTCTATTCGTACAGGGTCGTCTGATTGACCATGTTAAAAAGAAGGCGACGTCCTTGCAAAGAGTGACATACCTGGTGTTTGATGAGGCTGATCGCATGTTTGATATGGGATTTGGTGAGTTGGGACCATCGGTATTTTAACCTCTTGAGCCCCATGCAAAACAGCATTTCCTGTTTTCTATGTCTTTTAACTTCTGTTAACTTAAGATCTGTAAGTTGAACCTTGACATGTTTGGTATCAATAGAAAGCCAAGAATCTTGGCTAAACTATATTTACATCCACCAAACACAGTTCAAATGACAAGCAGTTGAACCAGAAAGTAAACAAACTGTACAAAATGGGATTGGTACAAATCTGTAAATGCATTGCAAGAAATCTGTAATTACAACAAATCTGTAATTACAACAAATCTGAAAATACAGTACAGCAAATCTGTAAATACAGTACAGCAAATCTGTAAATACAGTACAACAAATATGTAAATACAGTACAACAAATCTGTAAATACAGTACAGCAAATCTGTAAATACACTACAACAAATCTGTAAATACACTACAACAAATCTGTAAATACACTACAACAAATCTGTAAATACAGTACAACAAATATGTAAATACAGTACAACAAATCTGTAAATACAGTACAACAAATCTGTAAATACAGTACAGCAAATCTGTAAAAACAGTACAACAAATCTGTAAATACAGTACAACAAATCTGTAAATACATTACAGCAAATCTGTAAATACAGTACAACAAATCTGTAAATACATTACAGCAAATCTGTAAATACAGTACAACAAATCTGTAAATACAGTACAACAAATCTGTAAAGGAAAATGTTTTGACATTTGTTTTTAAAGTAAGTCAATGCAGATACCAAAATATGCAATAAAGTGTGTTGAAAATTTATTTTTATTTTTACTTGATTTTGAGTGAATATGATCCAACTGAAGTCAAAAATAATTTTTCATTATTTTATATAATACGTTTGGTGACAAAATAAATGTTTGGATAATTTTTCAAAAGAACAAACATTCAATAACAGGTCTTTTCAGTCAGGTAAGAAAAAATAAATAACTTTTGCAATTAAAAACTTAACATTTACTAGCATTTATTAACCTCCATGGTATGTCCTGTGCAGAATGACAAAATGCAAAATTATTTCTTTACCAAAACCTCTGACTTTGCTCCAGTTAATTTTAGCAGCATGAATCTTTGCACAGGTGATGTCCACAAGTGGATTTATGATTTCCAAGGGTTTATAGCCTGATTCATTATGGTTTTAAATGGATTATATACTGTCAAATGTGAAAATTATTCAGATGGGAGGGAAACAAATGAAAAAAAAATGTAAGTCATTAAGTCAGTAAGTAAAAGTAGTAACCTTTATTTCTATAGCACCTTTCACAGACAAACATCACAAAGTGCTTCACAGAAAGCAAAAATAATTAAAAACAATAAAACAGATTACAGATATAAAAACAATTAAAACACAATAAAAAGCACTTAACTAAAAGCCTGTCTGAATAAAAATGTCTTAAGATGTTTCTTAAAAGAGTCAGTATGTTCCATCCTCAATGTCTCTAAAACAACAACAGCTGTTTAAATACTTACACTTGTAATAAAATCTCCCAAGTGTTYGCTTTATTTTGATACCAAAATCAATTAAGCAGGGTTTGTACATGCTGAGATTCACTCAATTACATTTCAGCATGGTATRTTGAGCCAAAACATCAAGAAAACCCCTTGGGGCTTASGAGGTTTACAYCRAGTGGTAAAACTCTCTGCCTTTACAGTGTGTAAAATMAATTAATTTTGTTTTTTTAGAATATCAAGTTAGATCGATCGCCAGCCACGTTCGCCCTGACAGGCAGAGTAAGTGATTTTTCCTGCTGTGTTTTTTATCATTCATTTAGTTGTCAGGGCACCACTGCACTTGTGTTTTTCTTCATCATATTTCCTCCACAGCTCTTCTGTTCAGCGCCACTTTTCGAAAGAAGATCGAGAGGTTGGCGAGGGACATTTTGGTAGATCCTATTCGTGTGGTGCAAGGTGACATTGGAGAGGTAATTAATGACGCCGTTTTGTTTTTGACCATGTAAACAGTACAAAATCTAACTGAGCACGTCTTTGCTTCTCTGTACAGGCTAATGAGGATGTGACTCAGGTGGTCGAGCTGCTGCCCAGCGGCTCAGAAAAGTGGTCGTGGCTGACCCGGCGGTTGGTGGAGTTCACCTCCTCTGGCTCTGTCCTCATTTTCGTCACCAAGAAGGCGAACAGCGATGAGCTGGCCACTAACCTGCAGCAGGAGGGCTACAGCCTGGGCCTCCTACATGGAGACATGGACCAGAGTGAGAGAAACAAGGTCATCAGCGACTTCAAGAAGAAGAATCTGCCCGTTCTGGTCGCCACCGATGTAGCTGGTGCGTATAACAGGAGGAGGTGACGATGACGGATGAAGCGTTTGTTTTTTAAAGTGTCTGACATGCATATCCATGAAATACCAAATATATTTATATTTAAGAAAGTTGTAATAATACACATAATTTTACCTGTTGCGTCACATAACTGGTATATATATTTTTTATTTGGCTCAGCTACTGTGTTGTTAGCCATTTTAGCAGCACACTTGTTCACTTTCAGACATTTCCCTTTGACATCACTTCCTGTTAATTCACACGCAAATATCTCAACTGTTCATCTCAGAAGCGTGAAATCTTTTTTGCAATATGTCATAAATGTTATCTTTCAAAAAATACATTCATATTTATTACAAAAATGTGATGTCTATCCTTCAATTACAAAAAYTCAAAGAAAACATCTTTATACTCAAGAAAATTGGCAGAGTACACATGATTTTACCCATTTTGTCACATAACTGGCCTATTTTCTTTTGAATTTGGCTCATCCAAAGTGAAACAGGAAGTGACATCAAAGGGGAACTCAATAAAATAAACTCTGGTCTTTGTTTTATAAAACAAAATGATTTGAACTTTAACTCTTCGTCTCTCTTTAATGGCGACTAAAAATAATCTAAAGAAACATCAGATTCTTTTCTACAGTCTGTGTTGTTTAGCTTTTGTTACAACACTGTTTACATGCAGACATTCCCCTTTGACATCACTTCCTGTTACTTCACATACAAATATCTCAACAACCGTTCATCTCAGCGACATGAAATTTGTTTTGCAACATGTTATCAATGTTATCTTTCCAAAAATGCGTTAATGTTTAATACAAAAATCTGATGTCACAGGCACTTAAAGTGTCCAAATTAACTTTGTGTCTTTGCGTCTCCCCAGCTCGCGGTCTGGACATCCCGTCCATTCGCACAGTAGTGAACTACGACGTGGCACGGGACATCGACACACACACTCACAGGATCGGTCGAACAGGTCGTGCCGGGGAGAAGGGTGTGGCCTACACCCTCCTCACCAGCAAAGACACCACTTTTGCTGGAGACCTGGTGCGCAACCTGGAGGGAGCCAATCAAGCTGTTTCCAGAGAACTCATGGATTTAGCCATGCAGGTGAGAGAAATAAGGAAGACAAAAACAAGAACTGTGTAGTAGCTGAATCAAAAGTTATGTTTTAAAATAAATGTTTTATTTTTCTACCTCAGAATCCCTGGTTCAGGAAGTCACGATTTAAGGGGGGTAAAGGGAAGAAGCTGAACATTGGAGGAGGGGGTCTCGGGTACAAAGAGCGACCAGGTCTTGGGTCTGACAGCTCTGTAAGTCACTCAACTGTTTTGATTACAATTCATTTTACAGCAACGCACAAAATGGTTGAATAATAATATGTTCCTGACTAAACGTCTGAATTCAGGTTTGTAGAAGTTTACAGCGATGTTGTCTTTACAGGAACGTGGCGGCAGCAGCTTGTTGTCGTCGAGCTATGAAGGCTACACCAAACCAACAACTGGAGCGATGGGGGATCGCATGTCTGCTTTGAAACAAGCCTTCCAGGTACAAGTTCAGTGTTTGTGTTGTTTATCTGGAGCTACAGTTCATTTTACTTAAAAAAAAGTGTGTCATTTTTGCTCTCATTTTATTATTTTATGCAAGTTTTAGCTCTGACTGCATTTAATTTGTTGCATTTTGTTTAAGTAGTGTTTGTTTAAGAAAGTTTTTTTCTTTGCTGTTTATTAAAAAGTTGCAAGTATTTTTACTTTACTACTTTCACTTCCTTTTTTTTTTCAGCAGACTCATTAAAAATTACACCAAACTTTTTCAACAACAACAAAAAAGTAGAAGTCATGAATATTGCAGAGATAAAGGCTGTGTCTCAATTCACGGGTTGCAGCCGATGTGGGGCACATTTGTTGYCCACTTACGTTGCTGCCCCACACCGTAGGCTGTCTCAATTTGTGGGCGCCTACTCATGCAGCCAACAAAACCCTGAAAAAGTCGTCTGCATCTGAGTTAACAGAAAAACAATGACGGCTGAGTTTCCTTATCTTTTTTTTTTTACGGTGGAGTTTGGAAATCTATCACAGACTGAAAAATGTAAGTTTAGCAACTTAGCTGAAGAAACATTTGTTGCAATGAGATGTTACAATTATAATGAAGCTAAACTCAAATTATCAGTGCTTTTTATGCATTCATTTGTAACGTTTTTCTATTAAAACTGAATTTTGTGAAGATATACCTTGACTAAACGACACGATTTGATATAAAACGTATCAGCATGTTAACGAGGCAGCACATGGTCACATAAAACATGCGTCTTCTGTKGACCAAACCGTCTCATTTCACAGCTGTTTATGCAGCCAACACCAGCAGCCTACGGACCACATAGACCGTGGCCAACATGGGCTGCAACCCATTGAGACACAGCCAACGACTGGAAAACTTGTTTCTTCTGTCTGCAGATGTATTGTTCATAAGTTAAAACAAACTCTTTTAATGCTCATTTATACTCCACCTGAATCTGAACAATCACATAATCAGGGTTCCTGCAGATCCTTAAAAAGTCTTTAAAGTCATTGAATTCTTCAATCCAAAAGTAAGGCCTTAATTAGCCTTAAAATGTCTTAAATCAATCTTTCAGAAGTCTTAAAAATGTTAACACATTGTAAATAGTATGATTGTAATTCATCTCACATATTAAAATAATTGGTAACATTTTTTTTAAATATTCACATGCAGACATTCCCCTTTGACATCACTTCCTGTTATTTCACATGCAAGTTTCTCAACAACTGTTCATCTGAGCAATGTGAAATTTGTTTTACAATATGTTAATGATGTTGTCTTTCCAAAACTGCATTCATATTTCTTACAAAAATTTGATATCACAGGCACTTCAAGGTTTCATCCACAGAAAACTGAGGTTACGACCCAACTGTGGGTCCTAAAACTCCAAATTTTGGGTTGTTAGTTTTAAATTTAATTTAATTTCTGGAAATCCTCTGACTGCTAAGGATGTTTCTGCTATAGTTACATATGGATAAAAGCAATTTYTCTATTATCAATATTAGAATACTTCAACCAAAAATACTTTGATTCATGAGTTTCTGCTAATTTTTATTTTTTGTCATTCGTGTTTATTATGAAATTGGTCTTAAATTTAATTTCACTTGGCATTAAAAAGTCTTGAATCGAACTTTCCTTAAACTGTAGGAACCCTGATAATAATTTCCTGTGTGTGTGTGTGTGTGTGTGTGTGTGTGTGTGTGTGTGTGTGTGTGTCTCCTGTGGGTTGTGACCAAAAGCGGTGGAAGACTCAAAGCTGCGAACAAAATGATGTAATTTTTGTTGCAGCTGCAACAATAAAAGCTGATTTTGTCAGTTCCGATGGAGCATGAAGAGGCCTTCACTGAAAACTGTGTCTTTGTTTTTTCCCACCCAGACAGCTAATAATCCATCTTTAATGTCTCGTTTTCTTCTAGGCTCAGTATAAAAGCCACTTTGTGGCTGCCACCAGCGGCCCCCCGAAGCTCAGCACCAAATCTAACAGCTCCTCCGGCTGGACGAGCGCCGGCAGCCTGAGCTCGGTGCCGACAGAGTCCGCCAACGGCTCGGAGCGGTCCAGCATCGCCTCTTTTTCAGTGCCTGGTTTCACCAGTGCCGGCACTCTGAGCTCAGTGCCCCCCAGCCAGACCGGCCCACAGCAGAGCAGCCCACCTCCCGCACCCCCCGCCCAGAGAGACTGCTCCCGGGACAAACACGGGGAGGGACGCCACGGGGACGGCCACCACCGTCACAGCGACAGGGGCGATCGGCACGGCGGGGGCGATCACCACAGGGACCGGGACCGCCACGGCGATCGGGACCGCGACCGCCACGGGGACCGGGACCGCCACAGCGGCCGCCACAGCGACAGCCGTAACGGCGAGGGGAGCAGACGGAGCAGCGACGACCGGAGGAGCGACGACCGGAGGAGCGACAGGGACGGTGGAGACAAAGGGGCCGGAGAGGGGAGGGACAAAGGAGACGAAAGCTTCGCAGTTCCAGAGCCACCGAAACGTAGAAAAAGCCGCTGGGACAACTAAAGAAGAGGACGAGACGTACGTTGATGAGTTGTCTCCACAGCCACCTTATTCTGCTGCTCCATTACAAGCTTATCTGATCAGGCAGGCAGAACATATCAGATTGTAACAGAAGCACAGAAAAGTAGGGCAGGTTTTGTTCGTGTTGAATGAACTAAAGATGAATTGACGGTGTCAAGTTAAACTCAACAGTTTGTCCGGCACAGTGTACATATACCATCAAACTTGATGTTACTGTTAGCTAAGAAATAAAGCTGTAATAAAACGTAACAGTTTTTAAAAACTATAAAATGTTTTTTTCCTCTCACTGAGCTTCTAACATGCTCTAATCTTGCTAAGCTCATGTCTTCTTTTCACACGGACTTTGCCAAGTGAGCTTGTACGTTGGTTTATCTACAGAACTTTTTCAGTTTTGAAGTCAGATACGTGTCGAAACAACTGTGTTCAGCCTACGTTGTGTGTTGTATTCAAGTTTTAGTGAAGTGCCTTTCCATGGCATGTAGTTTGTTTTCAGGTGTTTTCAAGAAGCTAATGATTGAGAGATACTCCGAGTGTATGATAACACAAAAATAAAGTTTTGATCAAAAAAGTTCCTCTGGCTTGTTTTGTTCTGGTTGTGTATTTTATTTATGATGATATTAGTTTTATATCATTCTTTTTTATGTTTAGTTCATAGTTGAGTTATTGCTTCCGCATGTCCTGTCATTTATTTTTATTGCATTGTGTTTTTGTCTAGGGTATATAAATGTATAAGCAATAATGTATTTAGGCTGAGCCTTTAAATGTTCAGATTTTTTTATTATTATTTTAGCTAAAATATGAAAGTTGATGCAGTACAATACAGTTTATGACAAAGGAGTCTGTAATGTCAAAATCCGCCATGGTGAGTTCGGAAACATCTGAAATAAAACGATTGTAACGACACAATTATAAAACCGCTCTCAAAAACAAAATAAAACATGATYCTAAAAATAAAACAAAAGTAGTTTAATTATTTTAAAAGTTTCGTTTAAATAAACTCAATTTTCCGCTTTTAATCAGATATTGCAAAAGCGTTCGCAGCAATTCGCCCCGTAGTTTTCATTTGTCCGATTCGCCGTGAAGGCGTCGTGAACAGACTGGAACCAATCGCGTGCGTTTTCCTGCCGGGGAAGAAAAAAAAACTGTTCTATTGAAAAGCGAGACGAGGAGCAGCGGAACGTAGAAACTCACACCGGCAACGGGTACAGTTTCCACCCCCTGAAGCCAAGGAAAGGAGGCTAAATAATAATTAAAAAGCCCAATTATCCGCCTCCAGCCTCGGAACGAGCAGCATTTATCATCAGCCGGTGGACCGCAGACAAGCCGGGCAGATGGTGAGTGGCTTTTTTCCCTTCCTGTCCTCCCTCCGCCGGCGCCTCTCCTCGGTTCTGCTTCAGCTTTTCTTTTTGTCAGATGAGAGGATGATGTCCCTCCACCCGGCCAGGCTTTACCATCCGGGGAGCCGTTTGTCATTTATGCCCTCTGTGTTTAGATTTTAAAAGTAATATATATCTAAATTCTTATAAATAATCAGCAAATCCACCGCGGCGCTCTTTAAAAATGCTAACAGCATCCATTGATGGCTAACTAGAAGAGGAGGCTTATTGAAATCAACAAACATTGTTATTTCACTTTAAATAATGCAGTATTACACCAGCCATTATTATTACTTACTTATGGTTCCCCTCTAATTCATTATCAACCGATTTGTACATCTATATTTTGCCAAATATTGTTGTGTGTTCGTGTTTTGTTTATTTTTTAGCCACACTTAGCATCTATGATGATAGCAGGTGATCTGCAGATGTGCTATAACAAGATAACTATCAATGCATATAATATTAAATTTAGTGTCATGCATCTTTCAGGTTGTTTTAATTTATTTATTTTTTATTTTTTTTATTTTAGGGCTTTAAAAGCTTGAATTACCTCCAACTTTAGTTTTTTGGATGAGCAAAAAAATCCATTTACTCTTTCCTGTGCCGGTACAGGATCTGGATAAGAGGTTTACATGCCACAGAATCAAGATTTCTTTAAGTTGCTTAAAGGGTTTATCTAGATCTAACAGATATAATCCAAAACCTAGAACATAACTCCGGGATRAAAGCTTACTGGAACTTGAAACTAATTTTATTTTAACATCCAGTGAAGCTGAAATCTCCCATCACATATAGTTTTGTTTAAAAATTGTATCTAAGGAGAAATGCATGTGTATTGTGAAGAGGTTTTTTAATAAGCTATTTGTTTAACCCACTGTTTTATCCACCGGAGGCCTCATTAGCTGTGAATTATTCCCCTGCCACCATCCCTGAAGCAGCTGACAGCTCAGTGACACGTTTCTGCTCATTTATGTTTCTATCCTGGTGGAAATCATCCTTCTTTTGTTGRGTTTTACCTTGTTTGTTTGCCCAGAAGATGAATGAAGGATGAGGCTTTTGAACAAAGCTTTAGTGGTGACTTCTGTCATTTGTCTGATCTGACCATATGTTCTCCTGTCAAATGATTAACAGCACTGAAACATGATTAGTTGTGCATCCAGGAAGTGTGTTGTGTTCTGAGGGGGAGGGGGCAGTTCCATTTCCTGTCAAGAGTTCAAGTTTAAGTCATAAAGCTGCAGAAAACAACTAAATCAATAATGTTGGAAAATGTGAACCAGTGCTTTTAAAACATTTAGTCGTATGCTTTTCCCCCTCAGTAATCAATAGACTTGAAAATAGAGGAAGTCACATTTTACAGTTACAGCTCATAAAACAGGACAGTTTTTATTTCTTCAGGGGAAAACAAACTTTCATATTGGCTCTATAAACTTTAATAGAAAATTACAACTTTATTAAAATATTTAACCTTCATTCATCAAATGTAAAAATGATAGTCTTTTTAAAACTTGTTTTAATTTTCTTCTTATACTTTAGCTACTGTTTAGTCACTTTCAGCATGCAGTTACAGTTTTGCTACTTTTTTGCTGCCTTTCTTCTCTGTTAGCTGCCATTCTGCTCTTTTTACTTTTTACTTACCATTTTGCTCATTTTAGCTACCTGATTGCTTTTTTAGCTGCTGTTTTGTCATTTTAGGAACTGTTTTACTGTTTTTAGCTGCCGTTGTGTTTCTTTTAGCTTCAGTTTAGCTCCTTTCAGCTACTGATTTAGGTTCTTTTCTCTTTGTTTTAGCTCTAAAACAAGCTTTAGCTTCAGTTTAGCTCCTTTCAGCTACTGTTTTACTCCTTTTAGCTTGTGTTCTCTTTGTTTTAGCTCTGATAAATGAGTTTTGCTTCAGTTTAGCAGCTTTCAGCTACTGTTCTACTCTTTTTTTAATCTTCTGTTCTCTTCATTTTAGCTGTAATTGAGTTTTAGTTTCTTCAGCAAACATCAGCAGTCATGCAGCCCTCAGTAATTACCCAGAAAAAAAAATGTTTTCTCGAGTTTATGTGACTTAATATATATATA